TTTTTTTTAATAAAACTTGGTATTTTTGAAATATTCAAAAGCCATAGTGCACGTATTAAAAAAAAAAGACATTATTTATCATCAGACTGGTAAACATTAACTCTACAGACAAGTGCAAGTAAACCGTAATTGTCTGATAAATATAATTTTGCTGATTTTCATGACAAGTACTGATTAATTGAATTGAACAGTTTAGAGATGTATACTTACGAAATGAATAAAATAGTAGATATTCACTTTGAAGTTGTAGTTCTTTACTACTCCAAAGAAAGGAGTGAGCTAATTTGTACTACTATTACTATTTATTGTAAACTATTGTTTACAACTAATATGTGTACATAAAATCTTGTAAAACGATTCATTTGTTGAATAGATTAACTGATTAATTGTCACAAATTTTATAAGGCAATATTTTTAAATAAAATCAAAATAAAAAAAAAAAGTTTTTAAAAACAAAGTTTTACTTGTCATTGGTGATAGGTATTCAAAAACAGAAAAATTATCCGAGGGTTATCAAATTCGATCGAGAGAATTCTGAGATACGATCAGTTGTTTGTATTTGCACTTATAATAACATAATCTTAATGACTTTTTTTGTATTAAATTCTTCCAGAAATTTTAACATAAAATACCCTACAAAGAAGAGAAAAAGAAAGAAAAGTTACTTTTTAAATCGATATAATCGAAATGAAAAAAAACCAAAAAATAAAATTGAAAGATTTGTTTAGCGGTGATATAATAGGTACACTGATACAAAAAGAAAATAATCAAAGCTTTGATAGAAATCAGTTGAGGATCTCTGAGATGTGATTGATTACATACACGTATTTGCCAAAGCTTTCTATTCCGATTATAAACTTTTGGAAATACATTCACCATATCACCTCAATATTTGATTTTCGTCTATTACAAAACTTAGTTTATACAGAGAAGTACAATTTTAAAAAAATTTTTTGTTTTTAAGCAAAATTTTTTACAAGCCTCGTCGAATCGACATATAAATCTCTGAAGTTGAAAACTATAAATTATTTTGATGTTTTTCGTTTACATTTATCAAAGGGCTTCGTGTTTCTATTAAGAAGAAGAAAAAACAAAGGGAAAAAGTATTGATGCACTTATTTATCGTTTATATTGCAAGAGACAGAGGCGAGTAATCTATCATGGGCAACGATTTCAAAATGAAAGAAGTTAGCCGCAAACTTTTTCCCTCCACGGCAGAGGCTTTAAAAAGTTTGTCATAACAAAACTTGGCAGCTTGACTCCTCCTTTTACTCCTCTTTCTACTGTTGGTAGTTTGGATTAATAATAAAAAGTTCGTTGCGCTATATTTGCCAACTCATTTTATTTTCTTTTGTTTTTGTTTTCATTTTACAGAGATATATAATTTGAAACGTTAGATCCTACTTTCCTTGAATGTCACAAGAAATACATTACGACGTTGAGATTTTTTTTCCTTAGTTAAAAGTTTGTTGTTCTTAATAAACCAAGTCTCCTGGAAAGCGAAAGAATGAAATAAATTTCTCTGTTCTCTAACTTTTAAGATCTTGTAAGATTTTAAATTTATGTCTTGCTGCTTGTTGAATTATATTGAAGTCTCTTAATACCTAAATGAGCTTGACAAGTACAGAAGTTAAGTAATAAAGACATGCATAATTTGTGTAGTAGAGTTTCTCGAGGTAAAAAGCGCTTGATTTAGCATACATTTTGAGTTTCGATAACTAAAAGCACTGTTTATGTTGAAAAACATGTAATAAAATATTTATATTTATATTAAACTTGTAAAAAAATATTCTTCATTAAGTAAAAAGATATTTCGTACTTTAGTGATATTTAAAATAAATTTTAATATTCTTGATAAATAATAGACACAACTGTAATGCACTTCATGATTAATGATTGACTTCAGATTTTAATTATGATTCTCTAACAATATAGTGTAATTCTCTGTTATTTTTTAATAAAAATTATTGGATTTAAAAATAGTTGAAATTGTGAATTTATATTTATTCATGAGAAGTAGGAGCATTGGTAATATCTAGTAATACAGCGGGTAAAAATAAAATGAGACGTAGTACATAATATAATAAAAATTATCATTTCGAATCGTCGTACTGATTTTCATTTCATTTTAAATTTATATTCTAAAATAATATACGCGTATTTTCCATACCTGCGTTCAACATTACCTGAATACGTAATCTTATTTAAAAAGTACAAATGTGAATTAAACTGTTTTTTCATTTTCGCGCGAAAGTAAGTATCTTCTGAGTCTAATCGACAGCTGCTTAATGAGCACGTATAGAAATTGCTTTCGCAAAAAATTACAAAAACCTGAGACTGATGTAAATGGAACAAAGAAAAAACGTCCAGATTGAATCGTCTTGTGACGTACATCCCAGCCTACATTCCACGGATTCCAGACCCAGGCATGATAACTCAATCAAATCCATTTCCAATATCAAACGTCAACATCTCGATTCCCGACTCGCGCTACTTTCCTTTTTTCATTTGGAAAACCCTTACACAGGAAAAAACGTTATACTTTAAGACCCTTATCGCCGTTTCTCACTCGAGTCTGGTAATCATCGACGGATAAAAAGCAAAGCTCTGCTTTCGCCTCGACAGCAGCGACAAAAAACTGCTCAAGGATGGAGGAGACGAAGAAGAAGATTTCAATGCAAACATGAAAAAATAACGGATCGAAGGTGACTTACTGGGTAGTTGACCGTTGCGGCCCAGGGGAGAGGTGGACGAGGACGAGTACGGCAGCGGCGAGACCGCGTCGCTATCACCACCGGCGCCGCTGCCGTTGCCGCTTGTCTGAGATGTCGGGCAGCTCGGGTCGTTGCAGCAGACAGAGCCGGTGTTGGTTCTTGTTGTTCCATTGCCACCTCCGTCAGCCGGATGGCTGTCGGTGAGGCTACCACTGCAGTCCTCCCTCTCCTCTCGTCGTTCTGGCGGAGATGCAACTGGAAGTAGAGGTTTTTTTTCGAAAATTATTACTTTCTTTCATTTTTTTTATCTTAACTTAATACATTTGCATGTTTAAAGACTGTAATTCGATGCCAAGACTTAAAGTATATTATATGCTACCCACATATCGACGATAATTGGTTACTAAAAATCAACGTGTTTCATGAGGTTTATACATTTCAATGTGTACATGAAAATATCAGAAATTTAACAAGCGACCTGGTTGCGGAAATTTTCCCTGAAATGAATTACTATACGTGTTCATAGAATGTGTACTACTTGGAATATATTTTCCATAATGTGACTCTAAATATGTCTATTTGCATGTTATCAAATACGTATGACATTATACATGTAGTTGGCATACACGTGCTTGAACAATTGTACGTTGTAGACTTTGGTATTTACTTCGTAAAAGTCGCAACTTCTGTATACTTATTTATTGGGACTTAAATCCTGAATATTTTAAAAGTAAAATTGGTTGCATCATCCATTGTAGCTATAAATTTCAGGATTTTTCACGAGATGTTTCACCAGGTGAAATTAAAGTAAGCGCCAGCTCTCCCTTTTGAAACTACTCACGTAGCGAATAATCTGTCCTACTTCAATGGAAGCTACGACTGTAGCATACACATCGAAAAAAAGACAATAATACTAGCTTCATCGATCCAAAATTATGACTAAATAACAGACGTCCCGTGTCCAATTCAACGTGAGTCATCTTCTCTATCATTCATTGTTCATTGATTTTTATTAGGATTTTTAAAAATCGTTTGGATAAGAGACTGTCATGAATAGTTTTCAGATGAATAAATATCAGATGAATTAAAATTGTTCAAATTATTCATGGACATTATATTTGTCGTTCAAAGTTTCATGTTTTACAATGGTAATCCAAATAGAATCAAATAGCACACCATTTGGAGGTAAGTCATTACGGGAAGCTCATTATATTTTGAACTTGTTTGAACTGCAAATCCAGACTCAATAACCCATTCGCCCTCGGTGATGAAGAGTATCCTGGATAAACTTTGTCATACCAGTTAAGTATAACTATACTCCCCGCGACAAATAGTACGAGACCAAAATAGCGTCGTTGCTTTTTGTCAAAGTGTAGTGCGCAGGACATAATAAACAAATTGACCCAGAAAAGTGGGAGCAACTATGACGTTAGCGTGCGCACAAAATTGACTGTACAGTGACACTGACGATGATAGTTGTCGAGCTCTCTACGTTTTCATCAAGAGCTTTTACATTGCGCTCAAGAGTATCATTACAGAGCCGCGTGCTGCGTCAGCGAGCGATCCGAGTGATTTAATGTTTGGCTTTTCTCTCTTTATTTTTTTTCCTTCGTCTTCGATCTTCGCTGTCCCACCCTCACCACGCCGTCGCTGCGTAGTACGTTTTGTAGGTATAAATAGCAAGAGCCTCGCGTTAGAAGAGGGTGAGAATAGAGTAACGGTAATTTCTATTGGATTTCCAAGCGAGGCTCGGGAGGTGGAGGGATGGTGACGCAAGAGAAAATTGTGGCGGGTCGGGAAAACATCGATTACGGAGCTTGGAGTGGAGAGAAAGTGTCGATCGGACTTTGAGAAATTTCATGGAGGGATACGCTACCTGGAAATCGTTTCTTTGGTATTTCGAGTATATATATTTCGCTGTGTTGAGATTAATGGTTAGTGATGTTATGGAAATTTTTTACTATCTGTCAGGAATAACGAAAGATTCATTTTGAATTTGAGACAATATTGAGAAGGCCCTTTCTCTTTCTAAGAAAAATCGCTTACATATACATTTTGTTGATATTTTCATATGTTGTAAAAGACGATGTACTACAAGCTATGGTTTACTAAGATAATTTTTGCTAACATTATCAATAAAATTATTTTCTAAAAGTACAAGTAAATATGATATTCGTATTCAGCACCCTCGTTATCAGAGATACCAGTGTTTTTAGCGATTAGAATAAGGTTGGTTGGTACTCGAAAAAAATTATGGGTGATCCTCATCTTGATACGCAAAAATCAAAAAGAAGCACGTTTTAAATTATTGATAGAAATGAGGTAAGTATAGTAGCTCAGTGTGACGAGAGTTAAAAATATAGGAAATAAAAAAATAAAAAATAATGATAAAATACTGATAATGACTACTAGGAGATATTAAAGTAAAAGTAATAAGACAACTTGTGATGAATATACACACATATACTTTTTCAATTTAGATGAAAATTAATCGTAAAAGTTTAATGAATTTGATATTACAAATACATTTTCTGATAAGAATGTAAGAAGTTATACTGACGTCAGCTGATTCTCATGCAGTGCACGTACGTAAACACAAGGTAAAAAAAAGATCATTTATCCGAATACGTCGAACGTGATTGATTTTTTTTTTTTTTTTTGTAGAACGTTTACATATAGATTTCAAGTTCCAAGTTGAAAAACCTTACTACGTACAGTATTCGTACACAAATGATGCCTTTTTTTTGCGATGTGAATTGCTTTGGTTGTTCAAAGTACTCTTAGCTCTCGATAAAAACTTTTTTACGGCTTTTGTTACAGTCGAGATTCAATGCATCAATTGACAAAGTCGATGATGTATTTATTGGTGATGTACGTTTAAAGAGAAGAAATTTTAGTAGAGGAGCAAAATACTGATATCAATGGTGTTGGTTTACAATTCCAAAGCGTCTTTAGTCTTTTTGGCTAATAGTTATTCACAGAAATTGGGACGATTCGAAAAGTCATCACTGTATCCAACAATTAAAATCCACACAAACAATAATTATTTAGACAAATAAAAATTTCTCTTTTTCAACGTCCACTTTATTAAATTAAATGATTGTGCTAACTAAAATAAATTTATTTCACGACTAAACACTCACTTACGTAAATCAAGTAGTAAAACCCCGCTTTGGTCAGACACACGCCATCAGCAGCAACATTCTATTTGAATCATCTACGATAAAGAAATGTAACAATAGTGGGTCATTTTTCCAATAAATGTCAATCATGACTGTATGCAATACAGTACTCAAAATCCATCTCTCAACAATCAGAAAAATAAACAGTGTAAAGCTCAGGCAGTATAATAGTGATTTAAAAACATTGGAAACGGTGATTAAGTCAGTAAAATTCTGATCCGTCCATTCGATTTCTGAGCAAATGGTGAACAGCAGTCATAACCTATATGATAACCTATAAGTAACGCAATGTTTATATCATTTATTAACAAACTGGATAGAAAGATCAGAGTTCCATGTGTGTATATAAATACTGTGAGAGAACAAACGCTAAGCTAACCCACAAGTACGTACATGGATTCTAATGACTACACTTGTGTGAAATTAGTACTTAAAATTTTAGACTCCTTGAAAGTAGTCGAGGAAAAAAAAAACTGAGATTTTTGTTAAAAATAAATTTCTAAGCACAAAAGAGCGAGAGAGGGGGGGATAAAAGAGTTGAGTAGAGTGGAGTAGAATAAATTTTTATCAAAATAAAGGCTTTGGGTACAAAATAGCCTCAAGGATACAGTTCCAATGATGTTGCGCAGCAGATTTCGGGTACAAAACAACGAGGGGGTACGGGAGCCAACCATAGTATAGTAGGTAGAAAAGGAATGTGCTTTGATTCACAGTACAGCTGACTACAGGCCTACAAATTAGATTTTCCCACCCCTACAAGCCTCCTCATCTCCGACGCCAACCGATCGATTTTTGAAGTCACTCTCTTTTCGTTCCTCTTGCAGGTACCATAGCAAAGCCATTGTCATGCCTCGATTGGTCCATTAGCGCGTCGTAAGCCAATTGAAATAGTCTTCTTTGGGTAGCTCTTTTTTTTATATTGTCATTTTTTCCTCTGTCACCGAGTTGTGTTACACACCCAGTACGTGAGCTTATGGTGCATGAAAAATATAATTTACCATATTAAAAAAGCAGTGACAATTAAAACGACTTGCCTTAAATTGTTAACTATTGGTTGTAAATAGTGGTAAAAATTTTACGTGCAGATCAAATAGATTTATTAAAGCAAAAAGGAAAAAAAACTTGGACCTTGTACTGTTATAAGAATTAAAATGATCAGGGCAAATAATTAAAAAACGTTCGAATTATGTTGTGTCAAACATAGAATTGAAACTCTGATTCTGATACGGAAATCTTACCTTAGAAAGTATGAAAGTTGATAGAGGACTAGTATCATAATGATAAACCGGTAAAAAACATCACTTGCATTTAAATTATGTGTATAAACTGTGAAGAAGTGTTGATTTATAAAACAAGCAAGTACTCCTGATCATAACAAGGTTGTAAATCAAATATTTTCTACAAAAAAAATTCTATATTCTTGTCAATATTGGGTTATTAATAGTTGAGATATAAATAATTAGCTGTTTATAGAAAATTTGTTCAGTTAGCCTTACATAAATAAGAGCTTGAATATCTTAGGGTAATAAATCATAATAATTTTGAACGATGATTAATGACACTTCTTGGGTAATCATCATACTGTTGTTACGACTTTTGCCACCATCATTAAAGATTCAATTCATTCTAAATATTAACTAAATCCGAAAAATTGGTTAAAACTTTTTTGCTTTTTTTTTGTGGACTTAATCAGTTTGAGATGTTAGTTTTTTCATAAAATCAAACAATTCTTTGATTTTTAACATCCAATCCATGGTATTATCCACTCATCGACCAGTTTTTTTTTTTTACATGATCAAATGTATTATTAGTTAGAAATTTCATGATCCTTAAGAGTTTCTAACATAAAATATCCTAAAACAAAAAATTAATGTACGATACGGATAAAATGGAAAACAAACATTGTTATTCGCAAAGTAAAACTAATGTCCCAGAAATTAACACGATGGTTGTTCAAATAAAAATCTTCAACGTATTGTAATGAAATATCATAAATAACTTATAGAAGTACTTCGAAACGAGTTTGAGAATTTTTTAACCTCAAACCACTAGAAATCAATTTACAACTCAATG